TGGAGACTGGAGCGCAGCAGCTCCAACAAACGAAATCGGAGATCTTTCCAGAGACAATTCCAGTTGCTCAGTGCAGCAGCAGTAGCAGCAGTGGGCAGCGCTGCACAGAATTTATAAGCGCAAGCTTTCACTAGGCATTTCTCCTGGGAAGTCTGCGCTGCGAGAGGAAGGGGAAGAGGAGGAAAAAGAGGAAAAAGAAGAGTGAAAATGGAGCAATTTCTCGTTGAGCACTGGCCACTTTCACCAGATCGACGACTGCTATCGTCATAAGCAGCGAGATCCAGGAGGCGCTGGAGGAGACTTCCGTGCAGGACTTACAGAGCTTAGGCGAGAATTTGGAGGAGTGATGGCGTTGGAGAAGCTTGTTTGCATCATTGTCAGGATGCCTTTCGTCGGCGCTGGCAGCGCCGGTGAGCACTGGCGATCGAAGCGCACATCCAAATCGCAGACTTGAATTGCAGCGTAAGGACAAAGATTGCATGCACATGCTGCTGCTGGCGGAATGGAGAAATCAAAAACAAACGCGGGCGCAATTAAACCCTAACCCCAAGAGCCCTAATTTACAGCGCGGGAATGTGGGGACCATGCACACGTGGATCACTTAAACCACACATGGGCCACGTACGGCAGTGGTGGCCCATTTCTTTGTGTACCGCCACCTTTTTCCTATTTCTGTAGCGTGTGTAATTGAGAGCCTCACAGCTAGACCCAAAGAATTTATATGCTTTGATACAAAATATCCGAGAGTTTCCTTCGTAGAGATATGTACTTGTGTCTGTCTGGATCTCACGAAAAAGAGACTTATTAACGGGGTTTTAGGGTTTAGGGCTAGAATATTTTGCTCGTGAGTTGGGTGGTCGCGCTTCATGCATTTAGACGCTCCCGTCAATGTCATGCATGCGTGCCCGGAGAGATGTATTTCTTGTTATGGATGTCTTTCGCGCATTGGCACCGGAAAGATTCGAACCGGGGCCGCCACGCTCCTTTTTTCTTGTTCACCTCTCTCCCTCAGGGGAGGGGAAAAAAGAAGCAAGAATACAAGGTGGAGCAAAAGATTGGAATATGTGTGCCTTCTTCTTGCCTGACACAATGTAGGCCCCAAGAAGACACCACCTTTTCCTTTAAAGAGAAAATACAAGATAAGAACTTCACAGGGCTTTGTAAGTATGAATTCCAGAGATTCGACAGAGAAGAGTGTTAGAATTCTTGTGGAATAGATTATACAAGAGATTAATCCATTTACCATGCAATTTTGGGTTTGACAAAAGAGGGGTCTCTGAAGAAAAAACCGTAAAGGAATCAATGACGACGTTGATGACGGTTGTTGATCTCTGGGCCTTTGTGAGGGACGATTTAAAGCCTTTTTTTTTTCCACCACTGGCTTGCAGATGAGAGATTTCTCTCGTCCATCTGACGGCATTGCACAAGGTGGTACGGGGAAATTATAGAGCATATTGACGAGGAGAACAACAGGTTGGGATCATAAAAGCGCTCCAAGACTTACTACAAGCTTTCTTTCCCCTCCTGGGCAATGAAATGAAACTCTCTCCTCTCGGCATTCTGTATGTAACACAAGAGGTACTGGGAAGATGGAGCATCAAATCAGTCTGTCTCAGCTTTTTAGTTGTTTGTATGTTTCTGTATTTTGGATGGATATATTTTGAATTCGGAAGTTCAGAATAAAAAGTGTTTTCCAATTTCCAATTTTATTGTTTTAAACACCATACTGTTTCTATCTAGTAAGGCATGAGGCCGATTTTTAAAGAAGAATGAAAATGAAGAAAATGTTATATGATAGATTTCCTCTGTTATCCAAAGTGTTAAACATGATATAAGTGTACACGTTTATGAATATTTTAATTGCTTTAAAACAAGAAATAACAAGAAAATAGTTTCTACTATTATAAATGCAAGAACCCACAATTGCAATTGGCTATTGGGTTTATTGCAGAAGTTCTTCAACTCAAGATCTTGATAAAAATCTATAACTTGTTTCAATTAACACTTTCAACGACACTTCAGAATAAACGATATAAAACATTTCACAGCTTTGTTACAAACATATCCTGATAGTTCTAGACCTGAAACTTTAAAAGTTGTTCTGAGCTAAGTAAAATGCCAAGAAGAATCTAAATACAAAAGTGGAATGTATTAGGGCCCCAATTTTGAGGAAGTTTGAGTTTGGTACCAATAACATTACACATAAAGAACCTTTGGATATTCCTAGATTTATCCTGACTATAGACTCTTCTGATTCAAACCCAGCAAATATTATAACCATCTTTCCCAAGATGAGTCTTGCTTCCTAGCCTTACCTTCCAACTGCAATTAGGGTGCATTACATATTGTGTTTTTCTAAAATATGAAATTAAGTTCCTTACAAAATCATGCAAAGATATGCCTCCAACTTCAACTTTGGACTATTATAGTTTTCTAAAATATGAAATGATTGCATAAGTTCCTTATAAAATCATGCAAAGATATGCTTCTAATGTTGTGCGTTCTAGATAATGAGGCACTAAGAATTGGATTTTGATTTTTGAAGGTCTTTGTTTAGGTAGTGCTTCAAAGTGTGATGCTGTATCAATGAGTCTTTGTATTTACAAATTCTTCTTCCCCAAAACAGTTTGTTTAGCATTGCAAAAAATAAATTAAAATATTAATATAAGGTTTTATTTTTTATAAATCTAATATGAATTTTTTTAGTAAAATTTTCAAACAATAAACCATGATTGCTGCTGCACAGCTATATAATTTTAGGATGATTATGAAATACTTTAAGCTAAGATTTATTTATAATTTTTAAATATTCCTAAATTAATTATTTTATATATTTTATAATGATGGAAGGATGAGATTTAAGTGAGAAAATAAATTTTTTTAATAAAAAATGAAGCTATTTTATTTTTTCTCTAGTAAGATGTATTATTTAAATTTAAAATAATATTTTTCTAATTTAGAAATTATACTATTTGATTAAATAGATTTAGAGTTTTTTTATACTCAAATTAAGTAATAAAAATAACATCCAAATGGGAATTTTTATTTTATCATTTTTTTATACTTTATTTATATATAATTTTATTCTTTCTTAGAAGTGTTAGTGTATGGAATATAAAACTTTTCATATTTAATCAGCCCAAAAAATTTACCTTGTAAAGTAGTCCAAATTAAAACTATTCCAATATCCCATTACACTAATAATTATATATAATATCGTAGCTATGGATCTCATATCATCCTCTTCTCTTTGAAGGATAAAAGACAATTAAGATTTTATGGCTGATGTGAAGGAATATAAAAAGGAAACACTAGTGAATATATAGATAATGCCACTTATTCTTGATCTTTTTGTATGAAGCACTTGAGTTGTTACATATGTATAATTTCTAGAGGATCAATTTATTGAATGTCATGTTGAACCTTATAAATTTAAGGTCCAACTTGCTTTAACGCTTGATAGGGTCCCCTTCATTGAATAAGGAATCCCTTAGATAAATTATGTATTGTGAAATTGGGAAAATAAACTAACACTAGATTATCTATTTTATGCTTTGCAGGTAGACAATGATAAAAGTTGTAATGCCACTGCTATCCTATTTGGATGTGTTATAATTGATGTAGAATTAAATATTTCTATCAAACTTCATCACAAAATAAGGTTCACGTGCCCACAACATTGAAAACATTTAAATAATAGCTTTCTCTAACATCATTTGGATTTTACTTATAAGATTTTGAGTGACAAACGCCAAAAAGAAACCTTGATTAAATGAGTATCTTAATTGGAATAAAATAACATATTGCACTTTTGGCCACAAATGAGGTCAAATTCAAGAGATCAACATACTCTTTGAGCCAATCAACAACTATAATACAAAGGGATTATTTAAGGGCTCTAGTGAGGGAATAGAAGAACAAAAAAGAAGTAAAGTAGGAAGTAATGAAAAGATAAAGTAATGGAAATAAAAGTAGAAATAAAAGCATAAATTAGAATAAAAGTGAAAAGAATGGAAGAAATATAAAGGAATATTGTAAGCGACTAATTTTTCCATTCTACTTTAGTCACTTAACCACACCTTCGACCACTTGGAGGAGTCTCACTCACAACCTCCTTAAGTCCAATTCAGGACTTGGGACTTGCTAGCCCCAAGAATGGCATCCATGCCACTCAACACTTGCACCTGGTCCAAGTGCTCCACGTGTCCGGTCCCAAGACCGACACCCAAAGGTACCACTGACATCTCGGCCCGTTACGCTAAGGCCATGCCCATTCACCTTTGCTGCACTAGTGGTCCAATACCACTTGCATCACCATCCCGTCTTTCCAACACTGGGCCATCGGTCCACGAGTGGTCATCCTAGATCCACTCTTTAGCATCCTTAGGATGCCCACAGACCTGGGGAATCGCCTTCCCCAAAGTCCCTTTGTCAATTCCTACCAAGTCCCTTTTTGCCCCTGGCCGTGTTTGCCAACACTGCCACTGGATCGAAGCCCACAGGCCCGACCACTAAGACCCATGGTCCTCTGGGACTTCCTCACCACACGACTGTGTCCTTGGTCACTACCCCAGAGGACTGCTCCTTTTCCTTTCCACAGTCTAGGCCTTTGGGACAACATTTCGGAACACCGTGGCCTTACGCGAGCCACCTGGGTACTCTCCCCGCCTTTCGCCTTTAGGTGCTCTAGCCATGGGCTTAGAGTGAGGTTCCGTTGAGCCACACCTGGTATCCAAGTAGGTAGTGCCACCCACACTTGGACTGGGAGCATCGGTCAGTCAATCTCCCGGGGGAACTAGAGCCGGCTCTTGAACACTTCACCAAGCTACCCCGCTTGTCGGTCCGTATTCACTCTAGTCTTGGACTTCCCAGTGGTCAGTTCGTCACCCAACACTGGGTCTGGCCTTCCTGGGCCAAACTGGCCTTTTCTGGCCAAACTGGCTCCACTGCAGTCCTCCCCCTTACTATACTTTTGGGGCTCACCAAACCCCCCAGGGTCTGGGAGACGAACGCTTTGGGCTTTCACCCTCTCAGACTCCGGACTCGGACTCGGACTCGGACTCGGACTCGGACTCGGACTCGGACTCGGACTCGGACTCGGACTCGGACTCGGACTCGGACTCAGGCTCGGGCTCGATCTCGGCCTCGGCCTCGGTCTCGGTCTCGGTCCCAATCTCGGTCTCGGTCTCGGTCTTGGTCCCGGTCTCGGTCCCGGTCTCGGTCTCGACTTCGGACTCCATCTCGGACTCCATCTCGGACTCCATCTCGGACTCCGTCTCGGGTCCATCTCGGGTCCATCTCGGACTCCATCTCGGACTCCATCTCGGGTCCATCTCGGACTCCATCTCGGACTCCATCTCGGGTCCATCTCGGGTCCACCTCGGACTCCATCTCGGACTCCATCTCGGACTCCATCTCGAGTCCATCTCGGACTCCATCTCGGACTCCATCTCGGGTCCATCTCGGACTCCATCTCGGACTCCACTTCGGACTCCAACTCGGGTCCATCTCGGGTCCACC